AGTAATATTAATGTATAATGTATAATTAAAATTAAAATTAATTTTTAATTTATATTAATCAATAATTAATAATTATTAATATTAGTAATATTTAAAATTTATTAATATTTATTTATAACTAATATTAATAAGGGTTGTAATTGAAAAAAGTGACAATAAACTGCCAAAACGCTAGTCCAAGTAGTGTTTCAATAACCAAAAAATAAGCTAGCTTATTGTTGACAAACAATGCCTTAATCGGTTAATGGATCATCATACACTATTGTTTGTTTTTGGCTTATTCATACAGATATCGGTTTAATCATACAACTACTATTTAAGAGTTTATTCCATTTATCCTAAATTTTTCCATCCCTTCATTAAAATAAAATAAAACATTGAACTATAAGTGTGGTGCTTGATTGGTTTGAGTCTGGGATCCAAAGGTCAAAGTGCTTGGAGGTCTCAAGTTCAAATCTAAGGAAGAATAAAAATTCTCTTGTGATCACGGAAGTTCAAATGCGGTGACTCCGGGCTACCCACAAAGCATGTGGTCGCCCTAAGATTAGTCGGCTCGCATAACGGATTGGATATCCAGGTTAATAAAAAAAACATTGAAAGTTTAAAACACGTTTATTTGCCATAATTGCTTATTGATTGTCGTCGTACTACTACTTTGTTGTCACCGTCCCTACATTATTTGTCTATGATGTTTCGCCCCCCCCCCCCCCCCCCCCCCCACACACACACATATATATATATATATAGAGAGAGAGAGAGATGAGCGATCAAATGAAAACCGCACTCATTTGTGTAAACCATGTAAACCAATCTCATTCATCCATTTTTTTTATCAATGGTCAAAATTAGTTTAAATTATATTAGGAAATTATAAAAAATAAAAAATAATTTTATAATCCAAAAAAGGGCAAAATGGTAACTTTGGTAGTGGTAATATTAATGGCAACCATATCATGTATATCGTAATATTAATGAAACAAAATCATTTGTAAAATAATATATTAATTTTATGTTCAAATATTATAAAAAAATAACATCCATCAAAAATAGATCAACAGTAAAAATAAAACACATTATAATCAATTTAACATAATGAAACATTTTGAATAATAATAATAATAAATACTACTAAATTTCATGAATGAAATGGTTTCACAGTTTCATCAATACATAAATCTACGTAATGCTAGATGAGACATTTGTCATTTCAAGTTTCCGATAGATGGATCCGTTTCAATGTAATTATGAAATGGTTTCACTGTTATTGGTAGATGGATCTGTTTCATCGTAATAATGAAATGGTTTCACTATTCGCTAATTACACAACATTTTATTATCAATTATGAAATGGTTTCACTTTTTTCATTCACTCATTTCATCAGCCAATTTCTTCCAATATGAACACGTTTCATAGAGTCAATGCATTTACTATTACATGCTTTGTTAATCATTGAGTGAACAAAATCATCCCAAAAAAAAAAAACCAAAATGAAACAATTTCATCAAATATTGTTGATAAGAAAACAAGATTATGCAAGAATATTATATTACGCAACCAGCTCATCCCCAAAAGTTTCATAAAACAAACTCCTCAATGAACGTTTTTACGAACCAATCTGCATACGTTTCATAAAACAAGCTCATCAATGAACGTTTTCATGAACAAATCTAACATGAATCTGTTTCACAGCTAATTATATTTTTACTGGTTCATGAATCTTTGTTTGGATCTGTTACTGATTTCGTGGATTAATGAATATAATAATTTTCGATTTTCATATTATTACCACTAATAAACCGAGAAACCAAATAACAATATTCAATTTTTAAAATTCTAATTTAAATAAACATTTAAATATTACCATTTACAAAATTTTCTTTATTATGTTACCTTAATTAAGATTTATTAATAACTTCCATATTTAATAGAAAACAATGTAAATGACAAATCTACCCTAAATGATTAAATTTAATTAAGAAAAAAAAGGAATTTTCCTATTGGTCAAAATTATTTTACATGGTTTCTAAGAATTAGACGGTTATCATTTGATCCCGTCTCTCTCTCTCTCTCTCTCTCTCTCTCTATACACACACACACACACACACACATATATATATATATATATATATATATATATATATATATATATACAGGGGCTGGTTCAAATGTTAACCAAGATTATTGTGTTAACTTTGTTACCCAATCTTGGCCATTGATTCTTACAATAAACGGTTGTGATTAATCATGATAAAAAAGTAATTTTTTAAATTTACAATTTCAAAAAAACATATGTGAACAAAGAGGAAAAAGGTATTTAGGTAACTTTCTTTTTTATGTAACTCCCATATCATTAATTAGGAGTTACAAAATCAAAAAATCTCATTATTTTGTTAATTTATTTTTGTTAATGTAAGAACAATATGAACACACACACACACACACACACACACATATATATATATATATATAAATCATTATGTCAAACTAAAATTACATATTTACCCTTGTCATTAAATTATGAGATGATACGAACTTAGATAAAAGATGGATTTTCATTGGTTGAGCTTGGTTAACAAAGTTAACACAATAATCTTGGTTAACATTTGAACCAAACTCTCTCTCTCTCTCTCTCTCT